ATACTTGAAAAAAAATGTTAATTTGATTGGTTTTTTGTAGAAGTATTCACGGTTCCTATTCACTTATGCAGTGATATAATATAGGCATGAAAACTTGTAGGCCTGACTTTCAGAGTGATTGATTACAAAGCATTTGAATTAACTGTACCCCAATGCATTATGGAACTATAATGCAAGAAAGATTGATAATTACTTCCATTCTATTATCCTTATACAAAAAGAGTTATCAGAAATATGTAGAACTATATTTAGCAGAGAATTATCAGGTTGTTATTTGACTTTTTAATGCTACAACTGGAATCATACAGTATGTCTTTATTATAAGGTGTGCATTACACTGTAATAATGAATTTGATTGCTCAGTCTGTTAAATGATGAAATGCATTTGGTTTGAAGTGTGTCAAAATTATACACTTTACTTATGCTGGCCAGTGGTCAATACATGACTTTACTGCTGGTCAATACATGACTTTTTTCACCCTCAACATCTGAATAATATGTTGTTGCAATGCAGTTTTTTAACTTCATACTATGAACTTTTGATTGTGAGCAGAATAGAATAACTTTTCGGTAATTTTATGTCCAAAGTCACAGTATAACTTTGTTAAAAGCTTTATAGTAATCTACTGTAAAAACATTTTGTTGTAGTAATGTATTTCTACATTTTACAGAGTCAGTGGTTCTACTGTGGTGACTTGTGTGATAGATAATGCAACAAGGGGTACCTTGGGTTCTCCTAAATTGTTCAGTAAAGTTTGTAAGCTGACATGAGTTTTACAATTTCAGTGACATTAAAACTACAAAAATGTCCCCAAAAATAATCGTATTTTTGATTAGCATGGAATACTTAAAATACTTATATCTTATAATGTAATGATGTTATTTTCATCAGAAAATTATGGAATGTTAATACAAGGTCTGTTTATCCATATATCTTGCAGAGGTGATCCATTATCCAATGTACATTTGGAGTTTGCAAGCAGTGAAGCTGCAGTTGAATTTTGTGAAAAAAATGGTAAGAATCTTTAATTACCTGCTTTGACATAGGTAAAACATAATACTCCACTTTTTGAAGATTCAAAATGTAGATAATATTTTTTCCTTGGTTAATACTTTTTTATAAAGGTCCATTCCTATAAAACATCACGGATATTCAACTTATTAGCTCACCAGAGCCGAAGGCTCAGGGTGAGCTATTATTATCAAAGGGGGGTTCTCCGGCGTCCGTCGTCAACAATCGTCTTCTTCTCTGAAACTACTAAGCAGATTTACTTCAAATTTGGTCTGTAGCATCCTTGTGACAGTCACACTGGAATTTGCTCATGTCATTCCAATTGGCCCCTTTTAGTGGTCAGCAGAGCTAAAAATAAAAAACCTTTAAACATCTTCTTCTACAGAACTAATTGATGGATGATCACCAAACTTTGTCTGTAGCATTCTTGGGTAGTCTTTTATCAATTTTGCTCATATTAATTTGATTAACCCCTTTTAGGGGTCTCTAGGGCTAAAAATAGAAAAACCTTTAAACATCTTCTTCTCTAGATCTTGTATTAATTTGATTGGCCCCTAGTAGGGGCCACTAAAGCTAAAAATAGAAATACCGTTAAATGTCTATTTCTAGAGAACTAATTGATGGACGATCACCAAACTTTGTCTGTAGCATTCTTGGGTAGTCTTTTATCAATTTTGCTCATATTAATTTGATTAACCCCTTTTAGGGGTCTCTAGGGCTAAAAATAGAAAAACCTTTAAACATCTTCTTCTCTAGATCTTGTATTAATTTGATTGGCCCCTAGTAGGGGCCACTAAAGCTAAAAATAGAAATACTGTTAAATGTCTATTTCTAGAGAACTAATTGATGGATGATCACCAAACTTTGTCTGTAGCATTTTTGGGTAATCTTTTATCAAGTTTGCTCACATTAATTTGATTGGCCCCTTTTAGGGGCCGCTAAAGCTAAAAATAGAAAAACCTTTAAACATCTTCTACTTCAGAACCAATTGATGGATGATCACCAAACTTTGTCTGTAGCATTCTTGGGTACTCTTTTATCAAGTTTGCATTAGCCCCTTTTAGGGGCCACTAAAGCTAAAAATAGAAAAAACCTTCGAACATCGTTTCCTACTGAAATAATTGATAGATGATCACCAAACTTTGTAGCATTCTTAGGTAACCTTTTATCAAGTTTGCTCATATTATTATGATTAGCCCCGTTTAAGCTAAAGCTTAAATGCCCAAGGTCATGGCATTTCTTCAAATAATTGTAAAAAACATATTCTATGCTCAAATTTAATATTAGAATTTATTGACATTCCAACACTGAAAAGCAGTTGTTTCTGGTGAGCGACTCTTGTAATACTTGTTCAGTATCAAAATAGAACCCCATTTTGAAAGAGCAGATAATCCATTAATTTCTTTTTCATTTCACTAAAATCATTATAGATCTATAAAATGTTTATTCAAAGCTGCATAGTCATCATTAAAATGGAAAACCATTTCAAAATGGCAAATGCAAAATAAAAATAATTTTGTCAAAGTGATGATTGCCTTTTTTGGGGGGAATTTTTCATACTAAGTTTAAGTTTTCTCAGTGGTCAATAACTTCTATACAGTCAAAGCTATTGCTCTGTAACTTGAAATGCTTGCTGGTATATTCTATTATTACATGAGAACAACTCATTATCTACCGATGACTCTGGGAAAAGTTGTGCACGCTGCTCTGTTGACAACTGTTGTGTATTTGTTTGTTGTTGAGTTTGCTTATTAGAGACGTAATTTTACAGATAAGTAAACTTCACTTAAATGACATTACTTTTAGCGACGTACTGCTTATAATTATGCTGTTGCCAGGACCCTTGTTTTCAAATTGGTTGCCTCTCGCAAAAAATGATATCCGGATAACGATATTATTATAAATTTGCCGGTCCCCTAAATATATCCTTATAAGCAGAGTTTAGTGTGTATCTGTTTTGTATATATATTAAGGATGTAACGGTTTACTGGTATACCGATATATTGCAATATGAAAAAAAGTAAATTTCGTACCACGGTACGATTTTTGGCGAAAGGATATTTTATTAAAATCATAATTTTCAATGAATTGCCTTCTTATTTTGTACAAATCTCGGATAAAATGTTTAATTGGCGAATTTTACTGGCGCCAACGTAAAAATAAAAAATTGACCCAGAGAGAACCCTGGTTCCTAGATTACTTTTTATTTAGTTCTTACATTTTTCTAAGTTTCTACTCAGAATATATACATATAATAATAATACATAATGTAACACCATCTTTACATCAAAACATACACACAACAATACATATTGCAATACACTTTTGCAAAATGGCAATACATTTTTTTGCGGTATTGTTACACCCCTAAATTTTATATATTTGTTTTATTGTTAAAATGTTTATTTGTTTTACAATATCTTTTTTCTGTTTTCAGGTTTGGAGTGTTATGTAGACAAACCTCAGAAGACAACATTTAAACACAAATCTTACGGAGCAAATTTCAGTTGGAATAAGAAAACTAGGGTCTCTACTAAATAAATTATACTGTAATAGATTGAAGAAGGATTTTTGTGTGTGTTTTTTATAACATGAATATGAAACTGAGATTTACATTTATTGCATTACCCCTTAGAAACTATTCAATGCACAGTGCATTCAGATTTGAAGTCAAGTTTTCTGTCATAAAGATTTTGCACAGTGATAAAATTTTTACTTAAAAGAAAGAACTTTATTTTACAAGAACTAATTCAGTTATAAACATCTGTTGGAGTTTGCTAATAAAAAAATTATTTAATTTTTCTATGATGTAACATGTAAATGAAAATATTGTTATATAAATTGTGTTGTTTTGTTGTCTGTACATCCATTAGTTATTGTTGGTTTCTTTTAAGACATGTAAGTTAATTCATGTAATGTACATGTATGTGCGCCCTCCATATTATTATACATTTGTATATATATCCTGGAATTTTTTTTTCACTAGAGTCTTTTCATTCAAATGATGATTCAGTTGCTGAAAAAATTGATATTTGCCAGTTAGTTAACCAGGAAAGCTAACTACAAGATATGAACAAAAAATTAATGCATTAAAATTTTCATAAAACCTGGACTCAAACATTTATGAATCCTACATAGTCTGTCCTTACATCTGACGTGTTATTTGTGTTATTTTGGAGTTTCCCATAGTACCTTCCACGGAAATCATTAATGATATGTTGGTACTTTAGATTAACGTTAATTCAAGTAGATTTTCATACATTGTAATTTGTACTACTTATCCCAAGTCCCTTTTTTCATTTTGTCAAAGCAGACAGCATCCATCGGTTTCATCAGTATTCTTAGTTAACATTTACCCAACCTTGTGAGGTAATTCTGTCCTAACTTTACTTTGCCTCTTTTAACCCTGTGATAGCAAGTAAATGTAGTGACTGGCTTTTGTTACCAATATAGAACCGGTGACCTTGAACATACATGAGCCGCGCCATGACAAAACCAACGTAATGCGTTTGCGACAAGCATGGATCCAGACCAGCCTGCGCAGTCTGATCAGAATCCATGCTGTTCGCTATCAGTTTCTCTACTTGTTATAGGGTTTGTAAGCGAACAGCATGGACCCTGATCAGACTGCGCGGATGCGCAGGCTGGTCTGGAGCCATGCTGGTCGCAAACCTATTACGCTGGATTTGTCATGGCGCGGCTCATATTTACTTGTGATGGTAAGGGGTAAAATATGTTCTACCAAGTCAACCGATTTCAGCTTTCATTTTTACATATAGAGATCACCAGAGATGTGCTGATTAATCACAAGTTAACTGGCTTAATAAAAAAATAAAAATTGTCATATTTATAACTCTATTCTTTTAAATCGTACTCCAAAGTTATTCGCACAAAGAAAATTAATAACTTCCTAACTCCTGATTAAAGGAAAGGAATATTGTTTTAGCTCAAAATGCTCTTTTTCTTAACGTCGTGACGCTTTTGGCACTGGTTAACCTTTTTCTTTATGTCCATTTTCTTAGAAACTCAAAGCTTTGCACTTCATATTTGGTAATCTTGTTTGTTCACGCAAATACACTGCCATATCGAGAGAGCAGTTAATTCAAAATAAGGAATACATTTCAGAAGGACAGTTAAACTTATATAACTAATGTCCCCCTTTTAACTGTAATTTATCGGTTAACATTTTTTCTTTAGGGAATATATTCTTAAAAATAATCAAAGAAAATTACTCCCAATCTAAACAACAGATAACTCTGAAAGTCATTTGACTCAATTATTTCCCCTTTTTGACTTGCACTGTAACATTTTTTTCTTGAAACTTTTCAAAGATAGTGCATACACTTCAAACTTGAAATACTTGTTCAAAGACAGGTTGTGTTACATTGTCTTTCTGTCTTGCAGTCTATTTTATTATTGGTAACTTTAGAAAATTGTTATAATCTTCTGTCCGTCTGTTTGCATTTTTGTGTCTCAGGTTTGTATCTTTTGAACTTGTCGAAGAAAATTGAAACTTCTTGGCAGAAATATTAAGCATAACGAGACACTGCAGGTTTGACCTTCCTCAGTTCAAGGTCATACTTGATCATTTTGTATGAATTGCAAAATTCAGTGTCCACATGTCTTTTGAACATATTTAAAGAAATTAAAACTATTTGGCAGAAATATTACTTAATGAGACAATGTGAAAAACACTGGTTAAGGCTTCCTGATATCAAAATTGGCCCTGCCCCAGGGATTACTTTATTTATTTAGACTTATATAAAAAAACATATTTATAATAAGTTCATTTTGTGAAACTACACGTACAATGTCTTGAGCAATATTAGCTCCGCCCCTGGCGTCACTTAGTTGTTTGTACTTTATACTGTCTTAAATATAGGAAAACACATTTTGGTAATTTTGTGAAACTACAATGCCTGGAGTTTAAACGTTTGTCATGTAGCATTGTCTTGTTAACCTATACAAAACTGATAATCATGCCCCTGGGATCAATATTGGCCCTTCCCCAGGGATTACTTGTTTTAATATTGACTTGTATAGGAAAAGCTAAGTCTTATGGTGTGAAACTATAGATATTTGACATAAAGCATTTCCTTGTGTATCTCCAAAAAACTGATATTAATTTTTAACCATACCCCTTGGGTCAATATTTGGCACTTAATTAAAAAAATAAAGCGAGTCTTATTTAGTGTTACTACAATGTCCAGAGTTGCTTGCCAAAAGTTCTAGCCGTACATGAGACAAGTACAACTAGCCTATATGCACTGTTCTATTTTTAGAATAAATAACCTAAAACAATAATAGATATGCAAACTTGTGTTTCTAAACAAAGATTTTATTGAATATCATGAAAACTTTTGGGTGATGTGTCCTCTTCTGCTTGGACAATTTTGGACTTGTGTGAGAGGAATTTACAAACAAGACAAATGCGGAAAAGACATAAACAAGAACTGTGAAGGCCACAATATTACCAGCATAATCAGGCAAGATTTTAGCATATTACTATTTTGGGAAATATGGATGGCAACATCTAGGGGCATTACCCTGCACAGGGCCACAACCACATGACAAGTTGAAGCACCAGTATAGGTGGTGATGTCCATTTAATGTTTTTTCATTGGTCAGGAAGCCTTAGCGGCAAGTAGAATAACTTGCCACAATAGTTCTCTGTTCCAAACAAGAGTCCAACAGTCTGATTTTGAAGTTGATTGGACCAATCATTGTAGCGAAACTTTTAGAAGTTGTAGAAACAGACCTTGATTCTAGCAGTCATTCTAGCAACATCCTTGACATTGCTTCAGGTTAGCTAAAGACCTATTATTTGATAATATCAATGAGTAGAGTCATGTATTCCAACAAAATGATGGAAAATCACCCAAAAGCATGCCTCTTTCTTATCGCCATCTTTAACATCATCTTTTCTTATCGCCATCTTTAACGCCATTTTACAGAAGAAAGTGTCATATACTTTCTTGATAAAATGCAAGGGGAAGAAACTTAGAGGTGATATCCAGTGCATTTCGATTTTTTTGTTGATACTGGATGAATGCTTTATAGATGACCAGGTGGCGTGCATAACTATATACGCCAAAATTCTTTCGGGCGTGTAAAAATCACATCTTCAATTTCAACATAATGTAGTGAGACTCAAGCAATGCCATGTGCATATCCAGTTACGCAGAAATGTGCAAATAACAAAGTAACGCCGAACATTTGCAACGCTATTGCCAAAACGAATAACACAGTACGTAAACGAACCAAAATATTTTATTTTTTACCAAATTTAAAGAAATGAATGAGCAAATACGGCTGCTACGAGATTACACTTTAACCAGCATTACAGGTTTTTCTCAGGAATATGTTTAGAATGAATGAATGAAAGACATTCTGATTACCGTTTTGAAGGTGACTTTTGTGTTTCGTCAAATTAATATATTAATTTAACACATTTAAAACATTATTTTTGCGTACTCTGTATACCTTAAACATTTGTCAAGCTACAAGTGTCGTATAACAAGGTAAATGTCTCAGGCATACACCGAATATAAATAAATTAAGTATAATATAACACGAATAGATTAAATATCTCAGGGACACCGGATTTAACAATCTTAGAGCAATATGTTTGCTATCGTATTTAAAGATATCAACGAAACTAAAAAAAAAACAAAAAAAAAAAAAAAAACAAGCCATCAATTGATACGCTAGTCAGGTCGTCATTTTCACGAATGATCTTGAAAACAGACATTTTCATGGAAATAATTTTGATGAGGTTTTAAGTATACTGTCTCAGCAACCGAATGCGCTAAATAATTTCTTCCAATTTGGTGTACAATAAAAATTTTGGTCTATTTACTTATCGCGGTGCTCGTTTTAGCCACTAAATTGCAAAATTCTGCGTTACTTTTGCACAATTTCTACGTTATTTGCACATTCCCGCGTTACTGGATATACATAGTGAATGCACAGATCGACGGAGCTCTAGGCGCCGCCAGGAAATTTTTTTCATAAAGGAGAAGGCAAAAATAAATTGGTCAAGAACAGTGTGATACAAGTCGTGCTTACTCATAAATAATAACCAATTTAGTGTTTGAGTTCATTTTAATAAACAGTCGATTAACTAGACTGTTTAATAGTTTGCCGATTTATGAAAAAAAATGTGTCACAACTTATTTGAAATACATGTACTGAAATTCTTTAAAAAAAAATATAATTTCAAACACTAAATACATTTGCACGTTAGTCATTCATTATAAAGTAGCAGGTAAAATTTACAAGACAGTAATCTGCTAAAAATGAAACACTTTGTGTCACAGCATATATTTAATGATATGTTCAAGTGACATTATGCTCCTAGTTTCATAGTCAAGTTGAGCTGAATTGACTTAATATTTCAAAAGACTGACTGTCAAAATGGTGTTTGACCATAAGTTGATATTAGAAAATGTTTAGGATAAAATTATAAATCTGCCTAAAATATAAAAAGACTGCCCCACTATTTTCTATAAACTAAGCGCTATAGGTAAATTCTAATGGATATTTACAGAAATTTCGTTTGGATCTGTGCGTTATTTATTGTTTATGCGAACTTAATTATTAAATTAAAAGGAATTATTGCAAAATGAAAACTTATTTTGATCTTCACCCGTTCACTTACTATATACCCTTAGATGGGCATAATGTCACTTTCAGTAAATTTTATGCATAAACCGTAAAGAAGTCATTCTAAATATATTTGAAAAACATTCTGTATACACTTCACATTGATGTAAATTTTATACATAGAGGATAATGAATGAGTGTAAAATCAATTCTGAATTTATTGAACGAGTATAAAT